TCAATGTGGAAGCCGAGTAGATGGTCGTCGTCCACTGGCTCTATTTCAACTGGGTGTTCGTAAAATCAGGGTGGGCCAATGTTGTGATGGGTAGCGCTTGTCTGAATTGTTCGTTAAGCATGATGTAGCGGTTGTCGACATAGCGTGTATTGAAAAGGTGTAGGCCGGGTTGTTGAAGAAAATCTTGGTATGTGGTTTGCCACGTGTGTTCAATGAGGGTGATGGCAACGTTGCATAAAGCTGGGGAGAGTTGGCTGCCAATGCCGGCACCTTGGATCTGTTTGTAGTATGAGTTGCAGGCTTGGAAAATGCATGATTGAAGTGCATGTTGAACAATGATCGGGATGTGTTGTGTGTTGATGGTGCGTTGCTGTGGATGGTGGATGTAGTGCCGGCCAATGTGGGAGTGTTGAATGGGATTGCCAGTGGATTGGACATCAATGGTGAGGGTGGTGGTATTGTGTTGGAGTCGCCAGCGAGTGCAGAGGCTCATGACTGCTTCAACCGGTACGCTGTTGAAGAAGCCGACGAGGTCATCGTTGATGGCGGTAAGATGGATGTCGGCTGGTGTGTCGTGGAAGTATGGAGGTGTTGCCATAGGTTGGGTATGGAAAGTTGGCCTGGATGTTGCGGTAGAAGATGTAAGAGCATGATGTCTAATGCTTTGGAGGTGGCTCGCAAGAGTGTGCCAGCGAGGGATCTGAAATAGCTGATGACTGTTCGACCTTTTCTCCAAGATTTCTTTTGCTTTAGGAAGACGACTCCGTGAGGTGTGTAGCATGGGTCGAATGCTGGTGGGGAAAGATTGGGTGAGCATGTCGTGAAGCTGTTGAGCGGTGAGTTGGGGAAGTGGTAGAAAAAGTTGTGGTGTATTCCAAGTGGTGTCCTCGTTCCACTTTGTATGAGTGAGAAGCTGCATGTCTGTAAAGTGAGTGCTGTTGATGTAAGCTGCTGTAAGCACTTTGGCCACGTACGAGATCATGGGTTCATTGTGGATGTCAACTGATTGTGCATGGTTGTTGATCCATTGGAAAACTTCCAAATGTGCTGGATCTGTGGGTGGTTGAAATTTTGGTAGCTGAAGGTTGTGTGGTCGTCTTTGGACTGGGACTGCAGGAGTTTCTGCGGGTGGTGGTGGTGTGGGCGTTGTAGTGGCGGTCTGCTTGGGGGTGAAAAGTGGATTTGGGTTTGAGTGTGATGGCGTGAGAACGGGGAGCTGGCTCTGTAGTTGGTTTTGTGGTGGTGGCAACAGTGATGCCTGCGGTGGATGGGTGGGATTTGTCCAAGGTTAATGCTGATGGCTTTGGTGCATGGCTCTCGTCAGGTGTTGAACGTGCTTGTGCGCTGGCGACGGATTGTGTAGCTGAGCATCGTCGGCGTGGCAGTGGGGATCGAGTGCGTGTCCTGGATCTGGATGTAGCCTGGGAAGCTGCACTGGTTGGAACAGCTGGACAGGCTGAATAGCGGTGGCGTTCTTGTGTGCGTGGAGGTGAGCGGTCTGGGTCACGCCATATGCCTCGCGTAGTGCTGATGGTGGGTGCAATGGAGGGTGTGGGTCTGGTTGAACGTGCCGCTGATCGGACTGGCGCCGGATTGGTGGGCTTTGTAATCGGTGTTGGAGTAGAAAGTGTAATGGTTTGGTCTGTGGAAGTGGCTTGGGTGGAATGCTGAGGTGAAGTTGCTGGTTGAGCAGGTGATGGTTGAGCAGGTGGTGGGGCAGCAGGTGCTGTTGGTGTATTGTCAGGTACTGCAGGGATGGCTGTGTGTGTGTGGGATCCACTGAAGTAATCGATGTTGGTGGTGCGGTTGGCTGGGGTGTGGATTGTGGCGCTTGTGGTTGCGGTTGTGGTGGCGTATGGTGAGCAGAAGCGGAAATGGCAATGTGCTGTGGGGCTGTAGGGAGTGGTTGCGGTGGATAATGTGGCGGGTGTGGCTGATAATGCGGTGCCGGTTGCATGTAGTGTGTTTGTGGTGGGTATGTCGTGGGATGTGGGTAGACATGAGGTATTGGATGATGTGGTGGAAATGGTGGAAGTGTTGGAAATGGTTGCGGTGGAGCTTGTGGTGGATAAGAATACCACTATGGTTGTGTAGGCTGTGGGGGCGGCTGTAAGTGATGTGGTAATGAATAAGGCCAGGGGTGCGTCATGGCTGCTCGGCAAAACCTGATCAAATCGGTGTACGCAGAGTAAATATGTAGATCAGAGTACTCCTTGAACAGCTGAGAAAATATTGTACAATACAATACTGGAGAGTGGAGAAGTGAGCGTCTGACTGGGGTCATTGTAGGTCTGATCAAAACTCCATTAAAGTCTTCTAAAGAAAAGTTAAAATCTTCCGAAGAAAAGTTAAATTGAAAAAGGGTTCCCGGGTGAAACAAATACAGTTGAACTCTGCAGTGAAATTCAGTGGAGAATACAGTGAACTCTGCAGTAAAACTTCACGTGTGCAGGGTGAGACGTTCCAAGCAAGCTGATTTCGAGCAAGAAAATTCAGTCGCGAAAGCTTCAGAAAGACTTCAGAAATCTTACTCCTGCGGTGAGGAGTGAAAAGGTTCTTGCAGTAACGGCGCCCCGTAGGGATCACACAGCTTACCACTGTGGGAAGAAGCTGCGGAAACACACTTGAGAAGGTTGCTCCGTGGAGCGGGTCTTCAGTCGGTCCGCGGTGAGCATTAGCGCTTTAAGATTACTGCAGGTTAGACCTTGACTGAAAAAATGCTGCGTCCGAGCAACAGTATTGTTGAACGAGAATGCAAGTGAAATGATTCAAACAATTGGAAAATTGCAGGTACGTGAGAGTGATCAGCTCTCATATCCCGTGCGTCAGGTAGCTTCGTTGGACATGGTCCCTGAACGCCGCCATGTCCCCCTGCTGGTAAGCTGTACAAGTGGCATGACAAGAATAGTCGGGATAGCTAATATAGGGCCCTTGGAAACAGGGTTGGACACACACACACACTATGCCGCAATCGGCGCTCTGTGCCCCTTGCGTGAAACGTTTTTTTATGCAACAGCGTTGTACACATAACACCGATATCGGCGCTCCGGAAGATTACTAGTCACCTAAAAAGCCTTAGAAAGACAAACAAAGAAAACAAAACAAAAGCACACGAAGAGGGCAAGAAAGAAAGATAGGTATAGTGACAACGCCCGCTTAGTTATATAAATGAAAATAGTTAGCGAGCGGGACTTTTGTCTTAAACCGCCCGGGTAGCTAGGAGTAGGACAGGAGAAACAGAAGGAAAGGCACCAACACACAAGTGTGTTGAGTGCGATTTTCTTCTGTTACCCTAAACAGTGGGTGGGATAGCAACAGAGGCCTGGGGCAGGGAGGGGCCCGAAGGCATTGCCACCAGTGGCATTCAAGTAAAGCCGATTTGGTCCGGCACAACCCATTGTCTGAAAGGCGCCTGAAACCTAAAGAAAGGCCTCAAGAAACGAAAAGCAACGGAAAGAGAGAAAGAACTCAAGAGCATGACGAGCGCATGCAACTGAAAAGCAGCCTGCGGTTGCCTAGCCGTGGAAACTGTACAGGTGAATACTTAGACGCATGTGCAAATCCTGACTGGATGGTAATCTCAGTGAGCCCTGCGGCGTAGTATCAGTGGTATCACGCAGCACCGCGGATCAAGGGGAATCAACAGAAGTCCAGGAGTGCAAACGGAGCATTCAGGGTGGGTCCCCCAGGATCTGGGTCTATGCACACGCAGCGCCCCTCGACGGGGATCACACGACAGCCCTCAGTGGGACTCTGTGGCGATACACACTTAGATGGTTGCTCGCAAGAGCTAGGATCAGAATGAAGTCCCACTTGAATGAACTGAATGGTGCAGTAACCGCAAGGCGAGGTGGTCCATTCATTTGAAGGTGCTTGAAGTTGTTTCTCTCTCTCTCTCTCTCTCTGCTCATTAGGCGATTAGTGCGCAACACGGTATTGGACAGCTTGAAAACCGTTCAAACATTGCAGGTACGTCACTGGACGTCTCCAGTGATATCAGTACCGCCACAGAAGCCTCTTCGTTGGATTGTCACTTCTGTGGGGTAGACAGTCCCCCTGCCTCTTTTTACTCGCGCTGTTTTCATTTTAGTTTGGTTCCTAGTAGCAAGGCCAGGAGCTACTAGTAGCGTCCAGCCTTCTAGTGAAATCTACGGCAGGTATACTTGCGGCACAAACCTTAGAAACAGGTGTTAACACACACGCACACACACACATGAGCGCACATACGTGAGCAAGCACGTGTGAGAACACATATGATGTATGAGAGCGCAGGGTGACAGGGCAGGTATGAGAAGGCAAGCACATGTTTCTGGCCAGCAGTGTCTTGCAAATCCCTTTCACTTCCATCCCATAGACACCAAGCAAGATGGCAACCCTTCTGTTCAAAGTCACTGTTCTCGGGACCTTCAACTTCCTTCAACGCGTTTTACCTTCTGGTTACAGAGCATCCGCACCTTTGAGCACTTTCACTGAGTTCTACGCGCTACGTCCGCGGACAAAAGCGCTGGGCTTTGGTTCCTCATAGTTCCTCCCTTCTCAGGTTCTCTCCTATTGCCAAACCACCGCAGTTGGTAGATAGCTTTGGTAGTCTTTTGATTTGCAAAAATAATGGGACCAGAACCTGTTCTCGAGCATTGTTTGGAACCTGCTCCAGAACCTCCACTGCAACCTCCAGAACCTCTTCCGCAACCTACACAACTTGTGGAACCCTCCTTTGGAACCTGCTCCCTGGACCTATTCCACAATCTGCGCCGAAGTGTTTACTCTAGCTGAAGACCCCGAATCTTCGCTGTTGGGGGAAAAGCCTGCGTTAAGGTGTTTGTTGAAGATGATTGGATAGATAACATTTTCTGTATGCCTTTTTCCTTCTAGGAACAGACTCGAAAGTTTGGCGTTTAAGAATGCAAACTTTTTTTGGCCTTTTGCACCCTTGCCATGCGCCGTTTTGCTTGTGATGCTTCCGTTTCACTACTTTCTGTTTGCTCAGCTCTATCTTGAAGGACAGACAGGCCCAACGTATGAAAGAGGAAGAGCATCGTGACCAGGCCGCGGTTGCCTTCCTCTTGATGCACCTTGTATCGCTACTCGTAATTGCTGGTTGCGGCAAATATAGGTTTCATTCTATTGTAGTGTGAAGGGGGGTCCAGTTTCAACAGGTTTGTCATTCATTTACTGACCGAACCTCGCAGTGGCGAGGAGCGGGCATTTGTGCTAAAGCAAATCCAGTCCTTAAAAGCAGAAGAGGTGGAGCAACAGCCAGTGTCCCAGCACCCATGAGCGTCACAGAATCGAAACACAAGGACTTTGGAAAGCGTTATATAGAGGATAATAGTGTCCATAGCACGATACTGATATTGGATGACTACTTTGCCTACTGGGAACCAATTTCCGAGCGACAAACAGGAGAGACGCACGTTTAAGCGTGGCCAACCTCCTGATTTTGTCGCGAGAGGAGGGAGGGGAAGAGAGAGAGAGAGAGAGGGAGGGAGGGAGGGAGTGAGTGAGTGAGTGAGTGAGAAGAGTGAGTGAGTGAGAAGAGTGAGAAGAGGGAGAAGAGGGAGAAGAGGGAGAAGAG